GCATTAAAATAATTAGATATGAACAATACCTGAACAATTAAGTAAACAATTGTTATTGGCACTACAACTATGAGGAACCATGGTGAAACCACTGAAATGCTAATAATGGTACAAGTAGTTGCAAAAAGTGATAACAATATTTTTTGTAAATCTATGTTTATTCTTTCATCAATAACTTGAATGTCCTAAGTTAAAATAGCTAAAACTCTACTAAAAAATTATGTATTACCTTTGAGAATCTATTTACTAGTCTTCCAAGAGGTGTTGTATCAAAGAATGACATTGGTGATCGAATTATGCTATGCAACATTCCATTATGAAATTTCCTCGAAGCTTTAATTGCTCCCGAAGCTATTGCCAGAAAAGTAAATGCAGTACACATAAATTGTACAATTCCAATTGCAGCATAAATACCAAGATTAGCAAAACTAAGGGTTAAAAATGTAAAGAAATTTTTATGATTTTATTGAGCTTACTGTGCTGAGTTATTGTTGCTTTTCTCATTACTCCAATGTGCTAACCACAGCAACTGACCAACGTATCCTCCAGTACTTAGTGAACTTAATACCATGACAATAACAAACATGGTAAATGTATATGAATTTATATATGTAAGTATCACAGACATCTTAACCTAAAATTAATTAGTAATAGCTTGCAAACATTATACTTCTTACAATGCCAATTTTTATTTCTTCATCAGAATAAATTATTGTTTCCTTTGCTAAATAATAAAATTATTAATTAATGAAACCAATAATTATTTATTCCATACTGTCTTTATTGGGTAAAAAGGTGGATTGCTTAGCTATACTTTCCATATCTGAATAAAACATTTGAAGTACATGTGTGTATAAGGCAAGAATAATTATTTACCTTGTTTCTTTTCATCACTTCTATCTGTTGACCTATATTTTGTCAAGATCTCAGAAAATGACTCGTTGCGCTCGAGCAGTTTGGAATAATTTCCAACTTCATCAATGCTACCGTTATTCATAACTATTATTTTATTACATTGAGATAAGAACCTCACATCATGAGTCACTAGGAAACGCACCTGTACTGTCATAAAACATCATTACTACGAGTAAGCTTTTACTCACTTTGTCTTTCAATAATCCTTCAGGTCCTATCACATTATCAAAAATATGTTTGCCAACATGTGAATCAACAGCAGATAAAGGATCATCAAGCAAATACACATCAGACTCTTGGTAGACTGCTCTAGCTAGACTAACACGTTGTTTCTGACCCCCACTCAGATTTATACCCTATTATTAAGACTAATTACTAAAATGTTTACAACATTGATTTTACTTTCTCTCCTATTTCAGTCATATCTCCTCCTGGTAGTATTTCAAAATCTGCTTCCAAAGCACATGCTTTAACAACTTCATTGTAGAAATCACTATTGAATCTTTTACCAAAAGTAATATTATTTTTGACTGTATCATTTAATATCCAAGTAATCTGAGGTACATAAGCTACTCTACCCTGTAATATAGAAGTAGTGGATAGCTAATTTGTCACTATTTCTTACCCTAAGTACCACTGATCCTTTTAATTTATTCATTTCCCCTATAATAGCTGATATTAGTGCTGATTTACCGGAACCAACAGGTCCTACTACAGCAACTAGTTCTTCAGGTTTGATTGATAATTCAATGCTGGAAAATTTATATTATAAGTCATGCACTAAATTTTAAATACTTTGATAAAAGGAACTCATCTTTCTCATCACCCCATGAAAACAGACCTCCAGTTATTGATACAGCATTATCATAGCCTAATTATTAATAATTTTAGAACAAAATCAGGCTACATATACTTTCATTATAATCTTTTTTGTCATTAAATTCAGAATTTAATTCTTCCTCTGTCAAAAATGAACAAATGCGTTTTTGTGAGATATTAGCCTAATAATAATAGTCTAATTAACATAAATATCAAATGTTAATCGTATATACTTGAATCATGTATCCAAGTGCCATTGGCAAATGATGCAGTGAAAGTCGGAGAATATCAATTAGAGAGATGGCAACAAAAATCTCGGCTGTTATATTATAATCAGAATTATAATTGATCATCAAACAAGCAAAAAGAGTTGCTATAATAATCTAAAAAAATAATATTAAAAATACCTATAATTATTCATGGATCTATAGTAGAATTAATTTACAGCTGTATTTGAACCAAACATGATTGAAGTAGAAAATGCTTGCAAAAGGGATGCTTTCTTTAAGTTATGTAGTTCCATATTCCTCAGTTTTTTCACATTATCTATGAATGGTATTTCCCATGCATACAGCTTGATCACCTAAACATCAATAATTAACATTATTGTAAAAATTAAGTTTATATCATTTCAGTTTGCATTACTTTGATGCCATTAATAATACTATTTATCATTTTCAGCCTCTTGTCTCTGTTTTCAGTCAATTTTACCTGAAAGCGCCTTCCAATTATATATATCAACATAGTGAAAGGCATTAATAATATAGACACCACCAATCCAGCAAAAAAAAGCAAAACCTGTTACCCAGTATAAGCCCACAAGAACAACCATAATTCGTAAAGGGCTGAAACACATTAAGTAAAAAAAATGCCACAGCTCCATCAGTCTATTAGCATCAATTGACATCAGATTAATCATCTCCCCTATTGTTCTGGATTGATATGCTTTTCTTGTTAAAACAAGTGACTGTTTTTATAAAATAATGTAAAAATTATGATGTTTACTAATTATTTTACCAACCTTATTATAGATTGTGGCTATAAGACCAGATCTTATTCTCATTCCAGTAACAATTGTAGTATTTTGGTATTGTTGGTTAATGATTGTATGAAGCAATGCAACTAAAAACATTATAATTGTAAAAATATAGCCAATCCATGATGGTTGATTTTTGTCACTAATGTATGCCAACATCAATCTATTGTTTAGAATTTCAATGATGCTTTATTAAGTTTATATGTACCTCAACAATAAAGGATTAGCATAAAAAAGAGCATCATAGCACAATCTATAGAATCCACCAGTAATAATATCTAATCCATAAGCTCTGAATAAAGCAAGAACCAGGGATGGTTCTCTTGTTTTTTTGTTCTGATTATTTTTTTGACCTTGAAAAAATAATAACCTGTAAAATCATGATAATTGCTCATTTTGAATATTATATCATAATACATACCCAGATCTCTTCACTTCTTTATCCCATTCCTTTTGAAATTTAAGGGAAGTGACTTCAGACTTATCCTCATAATTAATATCATAAAGATCATCATGAGTTAATACTTTGTGAGATCCTTTCCACATTAACCTAAAATGTATAACATTATTTAATAAAGAAATAATGTTTGTACAGTTTTAGCCACCACCATGTTACAAGGGAAAAGAATGATGCAGATTTTTCAGGAGAAGGCCTGTACTGTATATTAAAAAGTATAGGCATATTACAATATGTTTGATGATTGACTAACCACTGAGTTTTCATTAATATCATTAATTGATTTTGGTTCTGGGATGAATAAAAGCAGTAGTTGAAGTAGAAAACAAAAATATTCAAGAGTAAATGTGACCAGAAAAAATAATTTAATATTTTCTTTCTAAAAAGTTAAAAAGTACATTATTAATTATAATAACTGCCTTACTACTAAATTACTTATGCTATTTCAACTGAACTATACACAAAATTGTATGCAAAATCACAGTAAATGCATTTGAGTTGATACAGTGCAAGCATCACGAGTGCATACATAATCATGAATACATAATTAGATTTGCATTGTAAACATACAACAGAAAGTCTGGTTAGTATTGACCACAACTTAATAGATCCATAAGTCACAAGACCAATCCATAGGATTACTGGAGGACCAGAAGACCGAACTCCCTTTTTATACTCAGATTGTAGTAGAAGAATCACTGTTACCTATTGAATAGACACGTGTAACATTAGTCACTTATTAATAGTCTAGATCATAGAATACCATGGTAAAAGCTATCACAAGTGGAGACATGAAGAAATAAGGTGCTATAGTGTTCTTCTTAACCATGATGATGGCATATATGAAGTCAGAAAGAATAACAAACATAATAACAAAATACAAAACCTACAAAAATATTTCTATAGCTTATTGTGCGTTATAAACTACCATTTTAGTCACAAGTAATAGGTTAAAAGGAATATGGATAAATTCTCTGTTTTTGCGACACAAGAAGTTAACACTTGCTAGTATCCAAAAGAACAGACAAACTCCATAAAGAATTACAGTATCCTCAAAGCAAGGGATAGTAACCGTGCCAGTTAGCGTCTCATTCTGGCTGAAACGTTCAATTTCCTATAATAGATTATTGATCACAATAGATGTATCTATTAGAACTAAGAAACTGACCCAAAGGTAACCTGGCTTGCAAAGTTGATCAACCATTATTCCTGCAAAATAGCAAGCATATAATAATTATTATTGCAGGCGCCCAAATTCTTGCCATTAGTCAATCAGGGAGTTCCCACAGTGGTTACTTTGATCATAATCACTACTCATCAATGATTATGATCAAAGTAACAATTGTGGTTACTCCCTGATTGACTAATGGCAAAAATTAGGCACCTGCACCACATATTAAGTTACTGTAATTGTAGTGCTTCTGCAATTAGTTATGGCATTGCTAGCTAGACATAAAGCCATGCATGTGCATTTAGATTTTTGCAACTTGTTATACTTTTTATTTTCCTTTTTATTTGTTACTGCTTTACACTTTTGATTTTTTTCATCATTGTGCATGTAGTTCATGTCACAGCTTATAAACTAAGCATAGATACTTGTAGTATATATGAACTAAGTTATATGGCTACGGCATGGTTTTATTTAGGTATAGACCCCCGATTATTTTCAATGAATATGATTAGAATAATTATTCATTCATAATAAATAAAATTTTCCTATACGGTATCTGCCCACAGTGAAAATTACTGACGGCAAGAAGGCCTCAAGATCAAAAGAAAATCAAAGGCGGTGACACTGCATGGCCATTTTTGTGAGTGCTACAAGGTACTACAGGCTTACAAGCAGCATTTATGAAAAGTATACAGGCCAGACTACATCATATAGACCAGATAACTCTTGCTGCAGCATAGTTTTCTTGCTATGCTTCATTTTAGCACCTTGGGCTTTGATCTGCCTTTGATCTGCCTTTGATGTGGAGAGCTTCTTACCGTCAGTAATTTTAATCGTGGGTGGCTACCATAAATAATTCATTCAAAATAGTCTTGGATTTCTATTAGCACATAGCTAGCTACAACTCAGTAGTCAATAAAGTATACATAAGTGGCTGCTTCTTGTGGCTCAGTATATATATACTCATTGACATACTGTATGATGCTTTAATTTGGCGGAGTTTAATTTTGGCGATTGGCAGTTTGCAAGGAGAATCACAAAATTAAAAACCATCAATTACAATTTACAGCAAAATTGCCGAAATAAAGCATCACCAAAATAAAGTGCTATATGGTAGTCTCCTTAGCAAAACCATTCAATGAAAATGATATGGCCAGCAATTAAGACTATCAATGTTCTGTTGTATGGATTCTGTAGTTTATGATTTCACAGGAAAGGGAGGAAACAGCTATTTGTAGCCCTGTGGCCTGTCAATTGCCTATATGCTGCTAATGAGGCTATGTTCTTTGCATATCTAGGAGGAATTGTTTTCCTAATAATTTCATTCCTTTTTTGGTACAAGTAAGTCTCATTGTGATTAAACCTACTATTGTTGGTAAAAACTGCTTTGCAACTAAATCTAATGATTATTATTTTATTTCAGGTTTATCTATAGTCCCTACCAATTTTTTAAAAAGTTTGGCTTGCATTCTCCCCCAACTGTACCCTTCTTTGGAAACATTTTTGACATATTTAAATTGGCAAGTGCATGCATGTGTGCTGGGCAGCTAGTCATAACTGTTTTATGCAGGGGAGTATTTACGCTTTAGAAAAATGGTCAATAAAATATGGTAAGGTATTTGGGTAAGTGCTTCATTGTCCAAACTAAAGCATCCATAAATTATGCCTACAGATACTATATTGGTGCACAGCCTTACCTTGCTGTGCTTGATCCTGATATATTGAAAGAGATTATGATAAAAAAGTTTGATAACTTTACTGAGAGAAAGGTAAGTTGAAATCTAGCACCATTAATTCAATCCTCCATCAATTGCACATTCCTTTGTAACTACCGTACAAAATGATTTATTTGCGAGAGTTTTATATTGGCCACGTGCCATCATAGATATGGTGCCATTGAGCATGCTCAGATTGAAACAAAAATGGCGGATTTTATAATGGCGATTTCTTCAGAAAACTGCCAATATTAATTCCTCCCAAATTAATCATCTTATACGGTATGCTACAGCACTAAAGTTATCTATCTTTATTCAAAGGGTATGGCTGTTACTGTTAAGATCATGCAGCATTTTTATAGACCCATTCCAAGGCTAATTATCACGCACAGATGCTTAATAAGCGGGTGTGGTCATCATGAATAAAATGGATACATAGATAATAGAGTAAATGAAAGGGATTGGAAACGGGGGCGTAGGCTAGTTGACGTTGCTAATATCTAATATGTCATTTAATATCTATGATGGCTAGCAGCAAGAGTAGCTAGATCATCTACTCTTGCTAGCAGCAAGTCTGAGCTTTGCAGCAAAGAGCAAACGGTCAGCAAGACAAGACTAAACTGCTGTTCAAAGCCTGGACTTCTCCAGCGGCAAAAAAGGTTGGGACAGCAGATGTACAATGACCTTTCAGTTTTGATATAAAGAACTCCCAGTGATGAGTCAATGCTGCAATGAGAAAGCTACATGCAATTCTGCTGTGCTGTGACTGCCATCTCTAGCAGCAAGGAAGGTTAAAAAAAGCCGAAGTACAATCTTCTTTAAAATACAATTTGTTCAGTGACTGCTTGTAACAGATCTTTAATGCTTGCTATAACCAATTCAATGCTGCAGAGATTTTATAAGTCAGTGATCAAATCCAATGATGACTGCATGATAAACTGATGGACAAAAGTTTCACTATTTGCATGGACAATTGCATACAATTGCTTTGCTTGCTCACAAATAATACACTATGGCTTGCTTAGGCTCGCCCCTTTAATGTTTTACATTTGTCTAGCCAGAAAAAAAGATGGTTGAGTCCGAATCAGTATGGAAACTTTCATTGCCCAAGCGGCAAGCCTAATTCTAAGTTCATTGTGCTCCTCATCACTGCATGTTGCAAAACAAAGAAAACAATTGGTAATAATATCCAGTTAGTGATGTGGAGAAGCAGGCCCCACCTGACTAGTACTGAGACCACAGCCTCGTCAATTTCTTGCTCATACAACAAATCTGGAGCTTATTTATTCCTTTTTACAGCTTCTCTTAATGCTTTCTTTGGTTTTCCTCAGTTTGGAAGCTGAAAAGCTTGAGATCAGCATTCAGCACAGACATTGCTCTTTTGTCGTCCAGTGTGGGTGCCCAGCGATGCAATTAGTGATCACGATCATTAGCCTTAGGATGGGTTTATTCTGTTCTAGATGTTATCATTATGTTAATTGTTTTAATATTGATCATAGAAGGATTTTGGCTTTATGACTGAAATTCGAAAAAAAGCTAACATTAACAGCATGTTGTTGTTTATGAATAAGCAAGATTGGAAGAGGACCAGAGCAATCATTACTCCTACTTTTTCAACCAAGAAATTAAAAATGGTAATAATCTTGCCCATTGTTTACAATGACATGTGGAATTGTATAATGATTAGGAAAAACTTTAAATTGTTTTATGTTTACAGATATCACCACATATTGAAAGAAGTTGTGATACATTAGTTGAGATATTTAGTGACATAAGTAGAAAGAACAATAGTGCTGAGTTGTGGAGGTAAACAACAGCATACTAATGCATCCTATGACACATTCCATGGTTAACCAATGCCTTTATTGCTAAGAGGATTATAAAATTTTTTTTGCATATAGATCTAATGCAATTATACAAATTTAGATCTGGAATTGTACAATTATTGATTTTTTTATGTAGAATATTTGGACAATTTAGTATGGAAGTCATTTTAGCAACTGCATTTGGTTGTCAAGTCAATATTCTTAAAGGAGAAGAGAACTCTCTGACAGAAGCTGCTATAGGAATATTCACACCTAATTTATATAATCTACTAAGTGAATTGTGCAGTAAGCTTGTTAAAATGTCAAATAATTGGTATGCCTTTTGTAGCTCAAATTCCTTTCTCAGCAAAGTTTTTTGGATTGTTTTTTGCTAAAAGATTGAAACTAACTCAACACCATAGTACTGCTAGAAACTTTATTTTTCAAGTAATCAATCAGAGGCGCCTGCAATCATACAACAATACAGTAAGACCTTTTATTGTATGTCTGACTTTAAGATCTAAGAAAACTCAGTAGTGATAAAACAGATAGAGCATGAGGAGCAAGAGGAGAGTAGCGATATCTAAAATGTTTCTAATTCACTCACTGCCTTGTTAGATAAAACGCATGGTTACAAAAAAAAAGAAAACAGATCTTTTAAAAATAAGAAAGAAAACATTCCATTGAGCCTTGAGGCCAGTTTTTTGTATGTTCGTGAGAATTCCTTTGCTATCAAAGCCAGACATCAATAAAGCAATTAATACATGTGGCAGTGTGTGCTATCTGATTTATCAGCACATGCTTGAGGTCTCATGGCTAAAAATAGTGCTCTTGGGCCTATAGTGCTTTCCACTCTCATGCGCTATTTTCTATTTTTGGCAACTTGACCTCAATTGAGCTCATGCTGAATCAAATAGCACACACTGTCCCATGTATTATGTGAATCATATAAAATTAATGGTGGTTATGGGTTAATACATTGAACCCTTTGAATTGATATTACCTTTGAGCATTCGGCCAGATCTTGGGCAATATCAATTTAAAGGATCCAAGGTGGCAGAGGTGGAGGGTGTATTAACTCATATCTGGGTGTTTTATAACATGTATTTCATAGTTCATGAGATACCGTAATTTTCTATACTCATCTGTATGATTATTTTAGAATGTTGACTTTCTACAGCTTTTGATGGAAGCCAAAGCAGAAGATGATCAAATTTGTCCTGGTTCTAAACAATTAACTGATGAGGAAATAATTTCTGTTTCCTTATTTTTTCTATTAGCTGGATATGAGACAACTAGTAACCTACTTGGATTTACAGCTTACCTTCTCGCAATGAACCCTGATAAACAAGATAAACTTACACAAGAAATTAATAACTATTATCAATGCAATAAAGTATGGCACAATAATGATGGATATAGTTTGAACATAATATAATCTCATATTCATTTTCATTTACCGGTATATTTATCCTTAATCCAATTGTAACATGAATCCTAACTTATGGTTTAAATTTTATAATAAATAGGATTCTTCTCTTTATGATGCTGCACATAGCATAGAGTATTTAGACAGAGTAATAAATGAGTCACAGAGGATATATGCACCAGGATCAATGTATTATCATTTTACTATTTATATAATTGTTGATCATTTACTGTAATAGGACCTTCAGGGAGTGTGAAAATACATGTACAATTAATGGAGTGACTATACCAGCAGGTTGTACAGTCATGATACCTATTCAAATTCTACACCGATTAGTTGAACATTGGGAACAGCCTGAAATTTTTAGGCCAGAAAGGTTTGACATTTGTAATTTTTTGATAAATTTGTATAATTATTATTTCATGTATTTAAGGTTCAGTCCTCATGAGAAAGAGTCTCACCATCCGATGTGTTTTATGCCATTTGGTGCTGGTCCTCGTAATTGTATTGGTATGAAACTTGCTTTAATGGAAGCTAAAATGTGTCTAACAAGTTTAATGAGAAAGTACAAGTTTGAGAGAGCACCAGACACACAAGTCAGTAATACCATAACTAACTAGCTAGGGGATTAGAGTAAAATTTTGAAATGCCAAGCCTGTATGTTACTTCAGTAATGCAATTCTTATAAATTCTTTACATAATAGTATGCTTAAAATAAAATTCCCTTTATAACTTTACCTCTTTTAATTTAGGTTCCATTGAAAACTCGTATTGGCATCACACAGTCACCAGTGAATGGAATATTTCTTAGAGTCCTTTCAAATGTTTTTTAACGTTTTGATAGACCATTAGTTTCAGAGTGTGAGGGGTCAGTGATAAATAATTTCATTAATAATTTAAAATTTGTAATGTGTATATTGATGATTATGGATCTTGTCAAGTTAAAGATCTTACAAGCTGCCATGCATTTTAGCTAATGCATGCTTGACTAAACATATTAAGGTAAGGTGAGTTCAAAATCATAGTGATCTTGCTGGTCTGCATCGTGCATGCATGCAGCATGCCCACATTACTCTCCAGGGTAAGCCCTTGTTAAAATAACTGCAATTATAACAAATGCATGCATGTCTATGTAACTTAATAGTTGATATTTGAGTGAAGTTAAAATAATATGAGCATAATGATCATAATTGGATTCACTTCGAAGCATATAGGAAAGAATTTGGGGCAGTGCCTAAAAGTGTAATAGGCCAAAATTGAAGCATTATTTGCCTAGCCTTAGATCTATATGGCTCTTCAAAGAGGCAGCTCCGACCGCAAATTAAGCATAATAATTATTTTGATTGAACCATACCCTGGTATATAACGACGTCCGTAACAACTAGGCTCATGCAGATTATGCTCAGTAATGCTTCAATTATTTGATGCAGAGTTGCTCATAAAATGTTATGAATATTCTTCAAGAATAGTACATTATGCTCTCAATTATGCTTGAAAACCAACCAAAAACATGCATTATTATAGCAAAAATTAATTAATAGATGCATTAATGCATGGTCTAAAGGTGTAACAGAAGTGAAAACTCAATAAATTTTTGATCTCCAAGGGTATTTTAAAACTTTACTAAGGTTGCAGCTAAGAAAAAAAACATTTCAGACATCTCAGTGATCTCTCTAACCATGGATATTTTGCCTTTTATGCTAGTGATTTCCGGATATTTCCCAATTATGCTGGCATAATTCTTGTATTCTTCTACCTAGTTATTATGCTTGTTTTTATGCCAGAATAATCTGCACCTCCCTACCGATCTGCATTTGATCCGCGTGGATCCGCATTTCAGGCTGGCCCATGACAACCCAACTGCATACCGTATAGCTCCAAATTTTTGTCGGTCAAAATTTTTGTCAAATTGGTCAGGTACTTTTGCTTGACGAAATTTTTGTTCCACGTGGGTAGCATGCGGGTTAATAGCAAAAATGACGAAAATTTTTATTGACGAAAACTAATTTTAACAAGAAATTAAGATTTTGACGAAATTTTTGACTGACAAAAATTTGGAGCTATACGGTAGTACCCGCCTATGCAAGCGTGGCGAGTCCAATGACAACCCAATCTATGGACAACCCAACTGCTTAGTACCCGCCTACGCAAGAGTGGCGAGTCCAAAAATTAGCTAGTGATGCCTCAACATGGTGAAAAAGTAATGCCACGGAGTCTTGCTTATAACTAAACTAGAAGTCAAAAAATTTTACTGAATTTTGTGTATTAGATTCTTAAAAGGATGCACATAATTGGCATGAGCTACTCTCTCATAAAATTTTATTGTAGAAGCCATTTTATTCCATGTGCCACCTTTTATTCCCAAAATTATTCTGTATTCTTTTGCAGCTTATTATTCCTATTTTTATTCCCGCCTAATCCCCTCACCCCTAGTGCCCCTCCTGCAGTCCTAGTGCCCCTCCTGCAGTCCTACTGCCTTGCATCAAAATTAAGAGTGGGGGGAGGCTCTGCCCCCTCATCAAAACTGGGGGCTGAGCCCCCCTTGCCCCCCCCAGATCCACTGCATGGAGAAGAAGCTGAGAGCTGCCCAAGAACAAAAGGAGCAGTTGAAACTTCTGGCGGAGAGTGGAGCTGGAAGTGAATCAGCGGGAGAAATGGAAGCTCTGGAAAAAAAGATCTCAGTGACGTTGCGGAAGGAGAGCGATGGAAAGCGGATTGTCTGAGCTACGGAGGGAACTGCTCGAGGAAGAGTCTACCGCAAGTCCACCATAGATACTACATACACACGGCTGCAGACCGCTGAACTAGAGAAACAGAAGTGGGAGGCCAGAGGAGAGGAGCTCGATGGTTAAGAGAAGAGCGAGCTGGAGGCGAAAACCTGAGCAACTGGAATACACAGTGGAGACGTCGATCTCTGGCTCCTTGGACGAGACAGGGACCGAGTGAACGGTAGAAGGATGTCTTCCCATTCATGATGCTTAACAGTTACCAGTGCTGCCGCCCTTTAAAGGAGCGAAGGAGTATGCTGAAGAAGACTCGTTTGAGGAATGGGTTGACCGCTTCAAGGAAATGGCAGTTTAATGTAGATGGGACGACCATAAAAAGCTAGACGTCTAACACAGTTTCCATTGAGGCCAGAGGGCCCCGGCGCTAGATCCTTCTACAAGCCTTGCAGTGATTGAGTCTGAGAGGAGGAGCTGTGATGCTCTGAAAGCAGCTCTTGCTAAAAGATTTACTCCCGTTCGACTAACAGCAGTACAGACCAGTATGTTTCATTAGAGGAGACAAGGCTCGAACGAGTCAGTGATGAGTATGCTTATAGGAGTTGAGGAAGTTATTCTATATATAAAGATTTTGAGTCTGGATTGCATAAGAAGCTGACTGGGATAGAATGGAACTTCGAGGAGTTGGTGTGTAAGGCTCGCTTTGAAGAGGCGAAGTGGAAGGAGACAAACCTTGGATGGACCATAGATACAACACTGGAGGTACCAATGAACGGTATGAACGGACACACTGGAGATGATCTCTGGCTCCTTGGCCGAGACAGGGACCGAGGGAGCGGTAGAAGGATCTGTCTCCCCCATTCATGATGCTCAACAGTTACCAGTGCTGCCGCTTTTTAAAGGAGCGAAGGAGGATGCTGAAGAAGACTCTTTTGAGGAATGGGTTGACTGCCTTGAGGAAATGGGAGTATGGTGTAGATGTGACGACCATAAAAAGTTAACACAGCTTCGATTGAGGCTGGAGTGTCCCGCTAGATCCTTCTACAAGTACAAGTCTTACAGTGAGTCTGAGAAGAGGAGCTATGATGCTCTGAAACCAGCTCTTGTTAAAAGATTTACCCCTGTTCGACTGACAGCAGTACAAACCAGCAGGGGAGACAATTAAGGTTTGAATGAGTCAGCTGATGAGTATATATGCTTAGGAGTTGAGGAAGTTATTATATAAAGCATATCCCCCAACCTATCATGGGACTCCAGAAGCAGAATTATTAGGCAAGAGGAGTGTTCTCTCTAATCAATCTGTTGTAGAAGGGAATTTCGAGGACTTGGTGTGTAAGGCTCGCTTGAAGAGGCAAAGTGGAAGGAGACAAACCTTGGGACAGAAGAGAAACCAAGGGGAAAAAAGCCTCCAAGGAAGCCTAGTGATGACTCTGAAGAGAAATAAAGGTGGCTACAAGTGCCCACGATATGGCAGTACACAACACTTTATTCAGGACTGTCCATTCGAAGGATGGGGAGCAATAAAAGAAGCTAGGTCTTATTTTGTAAATGGTAGGTTCATTACATGTACTATAATCTTGTTATGTCATCACAACAAGACATAATGTCCCACCCTATGCCTCCCCTTGCATGATTAATATTGTGTTATGTCTGTGCATATGTCACTTCACGTAATAATGCATCTACATTTGCTAAAATCTGTATAAACATTTGTTCCCTAATTAAGATTGGTTTAGAACTTGCTCTTTGTGTGTCTTGTGAATTTTAAGATTCAAATTTAAATTTTAAATATTCAATTTTAAAATAAAATTCAATTTTAAATTTACAAGTTGTTTGTCCTAATGTTATCGTAAGATCATGTTAACTTGTATTCCTTTTCTTTTGATTAGGAGAGACTGATATAATCTGCCTTGCTAACTGTGATGGCCAGTCATGACCACGTCCACGGCTGCAGACCGCGGCTGAACTAGAGAAACAGAAGTGGGAGGCCAGAGGAGAGGAGCTCGATGGTTAAGAGAAGAGCAAGCTGGAGGCGAAAACCTGAACAACTGGAATACACAGTGGAGACGTTGATCTCTGGCTCCTTGGACGAGACAGGGACCGAGTGAACGGTAGAAGGATGTCTTCCCATTCATGATGCTTAACAGTTACCAGTGCTGCCGCCCTTTAAAGGAGCGAAGGAGGATGCTGAAGAAGACTCGTTTGAGGAATGGGTTGACCGCTTCAAGGAAATGGCAGTCTAATGTAGATGGGACGACCATAAAAAGCTAGACGTCTAACACAGTTTCCATTGAGGCCAGAGGGCCCCGGCGCTAGATCCTTCTACAAGCCTTGCAGTGATTGAGTCTGAGAAGAGGAGCTGTGATGCTCTGAAAGCAGCTCTTGCTAAAAGATTTACTCCCGTTCGACTAACAGCAGTACAGACCAGTATGTTTCATTAGAGGAGACAAGGTTCGAATGAGTCAGTTGATGAGTATGCTTATAGGAGTTGAGGAAGTTATTCTATATATAAAGATTTTGAGTCTGGATTGCATAAGAAGCTGACTGGGATAGAACAGAACTTCGAGGAGTTGGTGTGTAAGGCTCGCTTTGAAGAGGCGAAGTGGAAGGAGACAAACCTTGGATGGACCATAGATACAACACTGGAGGTACCAATGAACGGTATGAACGGACACACTGGAGACAATCTCTGGCTCCTTGGCCGAGACAGGGACCGAGGGAGCGGTAG